GGAAAGTTCGTTCCAGAAAGAGAGAAAGACAAGCTCACGATGACCCTCGGGAATCCTGAGCACCCTGGACGGACACGAGGCATGCCAGGCTCCCTTCCGTGGAAGGCTGGGTTTCCGGACGCAGGGGGTTACAAAACCCAGGAGAGGAGGAAGAAAGTGGAGCATAGCCAACTACAGGCGCTGCACGAAAGGGTACAAGGGCTAGAGGAACGAGAAGCAGATCGCAGCAAATGACCTGCCAAAGCTTCCCCTGAAGCTACCCCGCCATCTCAGCAGAGAAGCAGTGTGGCTTCCACCGAGCAGACTCAGCAGCTGGAGCTTGTCTTCACGGGCTACCCCGTGGATGCTATCACAGAGTCTCAACATTGCCACCTTATGACGCGATGGATGACATTGAAAGTCAAGGCAGCTGTTGGCTCTGTTATACCTAATGAACCTGGCTCAACCTACCACGGCCAGCCGATTCCGGAAGGATATTGCTAGGGTGATGGTGGATTAAATAACGGACGGATTTGAGGACCTTGAGCTTGACCACCCTACGGGTGAAGGGAAGATTCGGCTGGGTTCTTCTCTGAAGACTCCATGCCTATGGCGGAAGAAGCTCATCAACCTTCCGAACTGGACGCCTCCGCCTCCTCCTCCTCCGGCGAGTCAGGGCACTCTGCCTCCTCCTCCGCCTCCTCCGGCGAGTGATCAGGGCACTCAGCCTCCTTCTTCGGTGTGTGGCGGCACTCCGCCTCCTTCTCCGCCTGCGCCGGCGCGCCCGAGCAGCCAGCTGCCTCCTCCTTCTCCGCCTCGTCAACAAGGGTGGAAGAGACCCACCGCCGCTCTGGCTCCTCCGGTGCATCGTCCTTCTCCTCCGCCTCGTAAGAAAGGAAAGACAGCCGCAGCAGCTCCGTCTGCTCTGGCGTCTAGCAGTACAGCCAGAGGCAGGCAATACAGATACGGTCCTTCCCTGAAGACTCCAGAGAAGTTACCATACGAGAGGAGCCAGGAGGAAAACGCAAAGATCGTGCAAGCCGAAGTGACCAACTTCTTTGAAGGGGTCAAAGCAAAGAAAAATCCACCTCCGGAGGAGAAGATAGATCCGGTAAAAGCAAAGCGTACTCTGGCTGCCCTGACGAGACCACCAAAGTCTCTGGTGAAAGACAACTATGAGCGCATTCTTACAAAGTCATTTATCGAAGCGCAGCGGTCGGGAAGTACTGGCAGTGCTCAAAGGTTAGCAGAACGACGTGCTGGGAAAAAAGTTGCCCAGCTCGGCGAACAAGCGAACCAATCGTTGCCCCCGCTCCAGGTGTCTAGCATCGTCGCGAATCATCCGGGCAGGATGGTGCCCGGTTATAACGATCTTGGAGATTACCTGCCCGACGATGCACATTTTGATTTCTTGGAGGTGGACGAACACATATACATGTATGGGAAGCCTCTCGTCAAAGATGAAAAATCTCTAACAACGATGATGTGAAGATTCCATGATTGGTATATGAAAACCTGCAGAGAGTCTGAGGGGAGGAATATTTTGACGCTCAGAGTTAAAGAGGAGCATGACCTCATTGGAATTGATCTGTTGAATGTTCCATTTGAGGAGTTCTTCGAGTTTTTCAATCTAAAGGCCATTGATAAGTTAATGATCACTTGTTACTGCCTGTATATAGTACTACTTCTGTCATTAAGTCTCTATATATATGTCAGCTCTTTCATTGCATGTATTTTTAATTATTCTCAGTATATTATGCAGATTGAAGATCGCCGAATTGAAGAAAAGACAAATGAGTGATATTGGGCTCATTAACACAAATCTCATAGATGCATATATGGTTAAATTTCATATATGGTTAAATTTCAGGCCAAAGATACCGAGGCCAAGCTGCTACAATCATTTATGTTAAATCAAAACAAAGCTATAATACTCTTCCCTTCCAACTTCGAGTGAGTGTTACTGTCTTGTGCATATTAGGTTTCCCTTATTAGTCGAGGTTATAGTAATGTAATTGATGAGTTATGCGTGTGTGCGCAGCTTCCACTATATTCTCCTAGAGATTAAGCTTGAGCAGGGACTAGTAACCGTCTTAGACTCGAGACGAAAAGATCCCAAGAAGTACGCGGACATGACTGAAATTCTAGAGAAGTAAGTTAAATCGATCATTATCGCACCATATCGACAACTTCAATTTGTTCATTTCCTGATATCAAGTAATTGTTTTCTTTGTCTGGCAGGGTTTGGAGTAAATTCACCTCAAAAACTCCGGGACTGCCGAAGAAGCTGCAATTTAGACACCCAAAAGTAAGTACTATAGTAGCATATATGTTCCACGCATCTCCTAGTGATTCAAGCGCTAGTTTCATCAATTCCATTTAGCATGCTTGCTAATTATCAATTTGATTGACCTCTATTTCTTGTAAAGTGGTTGTGGCAGGAAGAAGGGACTAATTACTGTGGATACTACATTTGTGAGTCCATCCGCCACACGACCTATGAGCGGGGCTACTCCGAGAAACAATATGAAGTACGTAAATAATTATATTCACAATTTTATTTTATTACCATCATTTGTGTTCAGTTTCATTTATTCATATATATGTATTGACCCCCTTCTTCAAATTAGATATTTCAGATGCGGGATGAACTCCTAGCAACAGATCGTATGCGAGCAATTCAAGAAGAATTGGCGGCATTCTTTCTTGACCACGTGATCGCTAAAGACGGAGAATACTATGTGGACCCTGATGCGTTCAATTTTAATTAGGAGATTATATTGTAAAAGATACTTATATTGTATATATGTAGCCAGTAGCGTCGGATAGATATACGAGAACTTGTTGTTCGACCAATCTCTCAGAGAAGGAAAGGTGGTCGATATCACTTCTCTTTGTATGCATATGTTCATGACGATCTTCTGTTTCCTTCATTTGCTTAACTAGCTAGCGTGTCTAGTCCTCTCTATACGTATAGTACGTAGCGTTGACCAAGCACGGAGATAAAAAAGGACATTTCTCTCAATTAATTAGCTAGCTAACACAATATATGAAACACCTAAATTAACCCCCTAAAACCCCCAAACCCTCCCCCCTTTCAAAAACAAAAAACAAAAACCCCAACATCTGAGATGCTGACGCGTGGATGCCTATTGGTCCCGGTTGGTGCCACCAACCGGGACCAAAGGGCTTCCTGCCTGGGCTCGCCGCACCGGCCACGTGGAGGCCCATCTGTCCCGGTTTATGCAAGAACCGGGACTAAAGGTTTATGGCATTAGTACCGACACTTTTGTCCCGGTTCAAAAATCGGGACAAATGGCCCTCACGAACCGGGACAATAGGTCCTTTTTCTACTAGTGAGAGGGAGTGAAGGCAAGAGAAGAGAGATAGACTAAAGGCACAGGCGATCTTGGCCGAAACTACTAGCCCACTAAAGCAGGGAAAGTCAGTCAGATTAGAGTTAGGCTCGATGATGCCAAAGCGTTAGTGTATCGGTAATAACCATTTTTGTATATGCCTCAGAGTTTCAGACCAGCTTTCGTTGTCGAAACCCCGTGCATTACGATCGTTCCACAGGGTCACCACACATGCAGCAAAAATGACATGCCACATTCTTCCAACTCTGCCTTTGCTCCCGCGTTCCACGGGATCACTCAGAAATCGTAGCAGTTTGTCTAGCCTTCAGGCCTCATTTGGTATAGGAGGATTTCCAGCCCCAAAGGGGAGAGGAATTTTAGAGGATTGGATGAATCCCTCTCTTCCATCCAATCCTCTCAAATCCCCTTGAATCCTTAATCCCTCTCCAACTACAATATGCAGAGGATTGGGAAGTCTGTTTCCTCCCGTCTCATGTTGGAGGAGCTAATGCGAAGGGCGGCGACGAAGGAACTGCGAGGCATCCAGTTCCACGAGGGGCTACACGAGGCTGGTGAGCCGCGTGGGTTGGGAGGGTTTGACGGGGATTGAAGTGGTTTGGCTCATTTAATCCCTGCGAATCAAATGGGCCGATGGGGTTTTCTGGGGATTCTGGGCCCTGCGGGGATAATCCTCTGTAATCCTCTCCAAACCTCTTCTATCAAACGAGGCCTCAGGGGGAGACTAAATACCAGGGACAACATGGTTAAGAAAAGCTGGACCGTCATTGCCCTCACATGCCGACTGCAACCTATGCCTAGCCGTGGAGTCCATCAGACATTCTGCTCAGATGCATTCATGCTCAAGCTGTGTGGGATTCAGTTGGGCACGCAATGGAATGTGAAGACTTTTTTTTCCTTTTTTTTGGGAAAGGGGGACTCGTTTTTTTATTAAGAAACTTGTAACTACATCAATCGAATCCTTCAACCAATCGTTTTAGTATTGTCACACGGGTGATCTGGATTCGATCCCCGGCAACGGCATATTTTGCCATATTATTTTGTTGTATTTTGTCAATTAATTGATCGAAGTAATACGAGCAGCTTCCAACTGTCATAGAGGCGTAAACCAACCTCTTGCCAACAGTTAATCAAAGCAATGCACACATATAGTCACAGCCAGAGGCAACAGTAAGACAACCTTTCACGGCTTTGCAACTCCACCTCTCTTTTTTCCCATTGCCGGTTGATCAAAGTTTCTGGCAGTCACAAAGGAAACAGCAAGCCAACCCTTTGCCACTTGATGAAGGAAACTAGTTACAATCAGAGGCAGCGGTAAGCCAACTCGTTTGTGCTATCAAAAAAATATGTATTGTTTGGTGATACCGACAAGAAACACATGAAATTTTCTATAATCCGAACCAGCCACATTGGTAACCGTATATACCTACCGCTCGACACTATGACATTGGGTACAAGGCCCTAGGACCTCGAACTGAACATTGGTGGGAACTCTCCCCACGATGTACTGACCCACAATCTCCACTCCTCTACGAGCTCCCGCTAGATCTTTCTTGCTCATTGACAAACATAGGCCATTCTTTGTTGAGGCGGGGCATCTGCCAACAATACCCCACCTCCTATCATAGCCGTAGGTCATGTCCAACGTCAGACGCTCGAGGGAAGCTGCACTCTCAAGGATGTGGATCGTGAGCTCGACCAGGCTCGGGATGGACAGAACCCTGTGATCAGCACCTTCCTGAGATGGTCGTGTCGGTACTCTAGCTTTCGTTTAGTATACACATCATCCTCTCCAGAAATGAGATCGGGTGTAGTTGCATCCTGCTCTACCTGCATGTAGTGCCATTGTTGTAATAAAAAAAGTGTAACACACTATTTGTCGTGGATAGCTTTGAGTGTTATGAATATTGACTTACCGGTAGGATGAAAGAATCCAGGACCGGAGAAGCATCAAGAAAAGAAACCAAAGAAAATATGTCATGGCTTGGAGGGAAGGGCATTGTTGCTGGATGGAGTTCGATTTCCAGGTTCTTGAGGTAGGGGAACTTGGAGGGCTGCATTGGAAATGAGATGTTGACAATCTGAATAAAGACGAACCCCATTATTAATTAAAATGGGCTGTATATATAATCACACACATTTAATGTACATTGTATACTTAAACATATCTATATGGTTTGGTCATTAAGATGTTAAAATCTGAAACATATACCTGTCGTGATTGCAGGATAACACTCTCAACATTAGGTATGATGGATGGAAGTCTGGCACGAGCATCAGAGAAAAAAATGCTCGACAAATCTACATTCTTAAGTTGAGAAGAATTTCTCAAACAAATTTCTTTCAGGATCCCAATCTCATCAGAGCGAAAGGAGCAAAGTTTTGGGGCATCGATCTGTACTGACTGTAGCCCTGTGCAATGTATCAAACTAAGGTATTTGAGTTGCTGCAACGTGAAAGCTATTCGCAAGCATACTATCCCCCTACAAAAGTACATGTCCAACTTCTCTAGGACAGGAGATTTTGAGAGCAAGAACCGTAACCCTTCCTCTGTAACCCGGACAGAAAACAAATGTAAACATGTCAATCTTCTCAAGATACCAAGTGACGACGTGGGAGTAAAAGCACAGCCGTGGAGGTGGAGAGACTTGATTGAACTTGCAGCTGCCTCATCAGACAAGACGGCACACGGGAAGTTGTATTCTTTCTTGATTTGTAAAGGTATTGACAAGTCAAGTTTTTTTATCCCAGACTTGACGGTGATTTGGAGCCACCTGTTGAGGCTGGAGGCTTTGATGTGGCCATAAGAGCCATGTACAAGTCTAAGTTTAAGTGTCTCCACCTTAACCCTATTGTTGTGATGGTTTTCAAGAATTTGGTCAACTTTTTTTATGATATAGGTTTTTTGTTCTTCAACTGTCTTATCAGCCAATGCAAGCGTATGTTCGTTGAGTTTAAGGTGGGAATAGCATCTCCAGGCATGTAGAAGTCCACGAGACACGCATGCAGCACGAGCTGCGTCTTGCACTGTCAAGAGGGAGTGTATATAATGTAGAATTTCCTGCAAAATCGAGGTTGACAAGTTCAACAGTTAGATTGTAGCTAGCAGCTAACTTTAGCTAGTACGTAGTTGAGATATAAACAACAAAATCATATTTATACAACAAAATCATATTTATATAGCTTGCTAATTTGTGCATGTAGTTGACAGTTCATGGACACTGCTAAATAAGTCCTTGATCTAATATGGGAACGAGGGAGTACATGTATCACCATTGTTGCGATTCACGATGAATGGTTCTTATGGAAACAAGCATGGTTACAGTTTACTTGACATCACATTGAGATCTTATATTAGCACAAAAAGCAAGCAAAATTCCTAGGTCTAGATGCACCATATATTCATGTGATATCAGTTTTTCTCGGGATCCGGTTGCCAGCAAGAATGTGTACCTCTGGTAGTTGCTCAAAAACAGGTCCTGGTCTCATATTTCGGGCACCTTGTTGTTGGCGAGATGCACTATGTGTTTCAGCCAACAAAGTCTCCGGTAAACTATCTGCAATAATACCCAGGAGCTTGTAAGCAAGTAGCGTCACTTTTCCTTATGCAACTCAGACTTCGCGATAAAGAATTATGAATTCCCATGAACGGGAGCTACACTTGAACAAGGAAAGATAGGGGAAAAGAAACTTGGTGCGCCAAAACCTGAAGGTTCAAAATAGCCAGCCAGGATAGCAGGGATGAATTTTGGATTTCAAGAGCTGAACCTTCAAAAAAACAAGGAATTTTCGCCTGGAGCAGAAGAACCGAGATGGGTTGGAGAGTGCGGAGACATACTTGCAGTTGCAGAGAGTGTGGTGCAGTCGTCTTCACGGGTTGCCGTCGACGCAGACCAAGAAGGCCCTGCAGGTGGGAGGTGCCGACGAGAAGGGGAGTTGGACATCGTCGCGATCTATAGCGTGAGAGCCTGGGAAGTTCGGCTATATATATGCCAATGTTTTGGCCGTCTCTGGTGGCGGTTCCGTTTCCTGATCGAGCTCCAACACGGACCTGTTTATACACATTGAGTTCTAACAACGTAACTTATTGATGTAATCTTCTATCTTTTCTAATTTAAATATCATCGAAAGTCGTTGTAGTATAGTGGTAAGTATTCCCGCCTGTCACGGGTTTGATCCCCGGCAACGGCGCCTACCTTTTTTTTTTTTGCCGCGCTGCACTTCTACAGCAATCGCGCCAGCATTTCATCCACCCTTTGGCCCAGCATTTTCATCCACCTCTTGTTCTTTTACTCTTGACTTGCAAACTTAGTTTTCAGTCGACATCCTCATAATATTCCAACTTCCGCATCCACTTTAGTTTTGGACCCCTACTAACTTGTAGGCGAGTGATCCGGGTTCGATCCCCGGCAACCACGTCCCTTCCTTTTGTTGCTCCTTCGCACTTCATTTTTTTCTCTGTAAAATTGTGCTGTATCTATACTGCGTCATCAAGACCTCGAACCGGAGCTCTACAAGATGGCTGCCAGAAAGAACCTCTCTGCCAAAGATGGGATGATGACTGAGAGGTGGAATGAGCGGCCTACAATTTCGTCGACGGATCAAACAAAATCGAAGATTAAGGATCCTAGATTGGAGAAGGTATGGTCTGTCACGCGAGTGACCAGCAACAGCGATTTTATTTGGTTGCCTCACTTTGTATCTTGTTCGCCAGTCAATCAGTCAAAAAAAATATATATATATCAGTCAGAACTCACACAAATTGCATCATGCATGGCAAGTACAGCAATCGGGCAAAGGCTCAAGCTGACACGAAAACCGAGCAGCATCCTCATCCACCTAAGCCAAAACATGGTAATTAGCATCCGAGATCATACCAAACTCTGCTCTATCTATACCCCGTCATTACCACTTGCAGCGGGAGAAATATAGGAGGAGGATCCAGTCCGTTCAAAATATTCAGTTGCATATCACCTTCTTATTTTTCTAAGACGGTTTGCCTGATATATGTAACCAAATTATGTTCCAATGCTACTTATTTAGGTACTTGCATTTACAGTTCGTCAATAGGTCATGGAAAGGAAATGCAACCTCTTGGCGCAATAATTTTGTGTGTACACATGTTCCCTGCCTAAGCATAAGCATCATGTTATTCACTTATAACATGTCACATATCATTTGTGCTTTCTTGTTGTAATAGTCATGTTACCGAAGATTCAGGTGCACCTGCTGTAACTGAAATAATTTTGCTTTCTTTCTGTAACCAAATCCGTTTCCCAATGCTTACAACTGTTCAATATAACATGGTATAAAGCAACATCTTTGCGCACTCGCATATGCCAGACTGGTTACTACTTAAACTAGAACTTAATTATTTCATGTATCCGCAAGTTGATCACACTTGTCTTTTGAAACTCTTCACACATGAGAGCAAGAGCCGCAATCCTTCCTCCGTAATGTCGGACATGAGAAACTTGCTAATCTTCTCAAGAGACCAAGTTTCTACGCGGGATGAAGAGGGCAACATGAGAGGCTGACTAAATTGAAGTTTCAGCTGCCTCATGAGACAAACTGAGCATATACCTATGTTGATCTCGCTTCCCAAGTTTAGATAATGTTAGTGTTTTCGCCAGAAACAGGGGTGGTTCCCATCTTCGTTTCTCGTTTCATGTCTCTAATCTGGACGGATATGACTTTTACCATTAATCCTATACTTGCCAAGATTAAACTTGATAATAAATAGCTTTGTCATCCTACTAACAACAAAGTCATTGTAGTATAAGTGGTAAGTATTCCCAACTAACCCGGGCTCGATCCCTGACAATGTTTTTTTTTTTGCCTTCTTTTGTTGCACTTGATAAAAGCTATGCATCAGCTAATAAAGGCAAAAATATACCAATCCAAGATGAAGATTTGAAGAGTTCAAAGTTTTATTTTGATGGAAATACCATGAACGAATAACATATGTTCTATTCGTGCTATAGAAAAAATGTGTTGTTCACTAGTGCCAAAATCAGACATGTGACATAAATGGAATTATTCCAATCTAAAAACGAACTATATTGATAAGTAGTATCTACTGGTCACTAAAATGGCATACGTTACAGGGCTCCAGAACCTCGAATAGAACAGTCGATGGAACTCTCCCCGCAATGTACCTACGCGCAGCTTCCACGGCTTTACGAGCTCCTGCAAGATCCGTATCGCTCAAAGGAGAGCAGTGGCTAGTCTTGGTTGAGGAGGGGCATTTGCTGGTGGTACCCAACCTCGTATTGTAGCCATATGTCGTGTCCAGCGTCAGACGCGCGAGTGAAGGTGCACTCTCAATAATGTGGCTCGTGAGCTCCACCAGGTTCTTGGATGCACAAAAGCCCATGATGGTCACCTGCCTGAGTTGGTCATACCGACGCTCCTGCTTCCGCCTCACATACTCATCGTCGTCATCTCCGACATCGAGATCGGACGTAAGGGCACACTGCCCTAACTGCAAATGCATACATATGTAAAATCAATATTCATCATTAGCGTCATTGGTCTGATAAACAAGTGTAACCCACTAATTGGTGGATAGCTCCAAGAGATGTGGACAGTGACTTACGCGCAAGATAAACGAATCCATGACAGGGGAAGCATCAAGAAAAGAAACCAAACAGAAGACATCATAGCTTGTGTGGAAGGCCGACATTGATCGGACGAGTCTGATTTGCAACTTCTTGAGGTGGTGGACCATGGATGGTATGATTGGCATGTTGTCATCCTAAGGAATGACAAACCCAAAGATCAATCATGCGTTTCTTTCAACATAAAAATGTTGCATACGTTTCACTATTCACTATATAATTAATTAAATAGCAAATCCGATATGATTATTATGATGTTAAAACCAACTAATACCTCAACAGGAGAGCATAGGGTAAGGGTCTCGACATTGTTTGCAATGGATGGAAGCCAGACATGAGCATTAGAGAGAAGAATCCACGAAAAAGTTACATTCTTAAGTTGAGAAGAATTTTGTAGAGAGGTCTCGCTACCACCACCAACAGCACCAAAATGAAAGGTGCAGAGATTTGGAGCGTCCAGCTCAAGCACCTTTAACGTACTGCAAAGAATAATACTGAGGATATTGAGTTGTTTCAATGTTGAAGGTATTTGCAAGCAAATAATCCCAGTGCACTGGTAGAGGTACAATTGCTCTAGGACAGATGATGTCGACAGCAAATGTCCTAATCCTTCCCCAGTAGTATGGACACAAATCAAATTTATACTCGTCAATCTTCTCAAGAGGCCAATTGTCGACATGGGATAAAAATTGCAACCATAGAGGCGAAGATATTGGATTGTACTTGCAGCTGCCTTGTCGGACAAAACCGAACACGGGAAGCTATAGTTTTCCACCATCGACCCGGGCATAGAAAAGTCAAGTTCTTTAATCCCAGACTTAACTGTGATTTGTCGCCACCTGTCCAGGCAGGAAGGCCTTGATGTTCCTGCAGGAAGGGGGACTTCAAGTTGAAGTGTCTCCACCAGAACCCCATTGTTGTGATGATTTTCGAGAATTTGGCCAACCCTCTCGTTGAAATAGGTTTCCATTTCCTCAAATTTCTTGCCAGTCAACCCAAGTGTATGGTGGTTGAGTACGAGCTTGGAATAACATCTCCAGGCACATAGAAACCCACGAGACACGCAGGCAACACGAGCAGCGTCTCGCACTGGCAAGAGGGATTGTATATGGTGTAGGATGTCCTGCAAAAGCAGGGACGATAGAATAACTTTTGACGGTCAGATGGTAGCTAGTAGGTGACGGCAATAGACAACAATAATCATATATATATGTGATGTCCAAAATATATATAGACAGCAACACATACCTCTGGGAGTTCCTCACAGAAAAATTCTCGTTTTAGTTTTTGGGCTCCTTGAAGAAGAATATCGCCTTGTGATCCACTACCTGCAATGTAGGGGATGCAACTAAGATTTTGCGAGAGAGAAGTATGTATATGAATTCGCAATGCATTAGATCGCTGCAATTCAGCGGGGCTTGTAAGTATGTTAATGTCAGTAGGATCACTTCAGCTTTTTTTTTAAAGGAGGAGGACCCCCGGCTGTCGTGGTACTAAGACTGACAGTAGAATAGGGGGTAGGTATGTAGAGGTAAGATCCTAGCTATGGAGTAGTTGTATACGCAAGGATTTTACGAGTTCAGACCCTTCTCGGAGGAAGTAACAGCCCTACGTCTCGAAGCCCGGAGGCGGACTGGATTATATGCGTATGAGTTACATGGGTGTGAACATTTCTGCCTGTGGAGGGGGGTGACTTATATAGAGTGCGCCAGGACCCCAGCCAGCCCACGTAGCGGAGGGTTCAATGTACATAAAGCCTGGCGTTACTGGTAACGCCCTACATAAAGTGCTATCATGGCCATAAAGACTACTTAATAACAGACCGTTTGGATACAGAATGACCCTAGATCTCCTGGTGGTCGAGTGAGC